CGCCCACGTGATCATATTGAAACGGAACGCTGATCTTGAAAAATTTCAGTTGTCTGTTTTGATCAGTCTTACTCTTATGTCCATCGTCTTTTCATGTTGAATTGAATATAGTCTAATGTTAATTATGTTTTATGAATATGTCCTGAAGATGGTCTTCTAGACCGAAACGTCCGACGTTGACATTATATTAACATTAAAACAGCATAATTGCATATTAGGATTTTTGTTTGTTTTTTCCGTATATTTTCTTCATACTGTCAGATCTATATCCATATATTTGCTTATATATATATATATATATATATATATATATATATATATACAGACTTTGTCGGTTCATATTAATCAAACTTATATATATATATATATATATATATATATATATATATATATAAGTTTGATTATTAAGAACCCAAAGTCTGTCTGTTTAATTTTTTTATATATTTTCCAATTTTCAGATAAGGTGTTGAGTATTGTTCTCGAAATTGTGCATAAACTGTCCAAAGTTCATATTTTGTTATTTTTTGTGCAAGTACTTTTGAACCGATGTGGTGTCTGTGTGGGCAGCTTATCTACAACTTCAAGCACAATTCTCAACATATATATATGTGTGTGTGTGTGTGTGTGTGTGTGTGTGTGTGTGTGTGTGTGTGTGTGTGTGTGTGTAAATTATTTTCTGATAGAGTGTATCTGTAAAGGAATAAAATGAATAAAAAGACAAGAGGAAAAACTATTCTTAACCAAAACATTTCGTCCTCTGAGGGATTTTATCAAGGCTAATGCAGGATTTATTTTGTTGCACATGTTTATATACAAGAGCAAGGATGTCGTTGTTTACCAAGGCTTTTAAATTTGAAAACATTCATGAATATTCATCAGGGGATTGATCTGATTACAATGTAAACAATATTCATTCATTTAAATAAATAAATATATATATATATATATATATATATATATATATATATATATATATATATATATCTTGAATATTACTCACTTACTTTTGCCTTACCAGAATTTGAACTATGGCAATGAGTCTTCCACATATTTTGACTGACCTTTCAACCTTCTGATGAATATTCATGAATTTTCTCAAATTTAAAAGCTTTGATAAATCAATGACACTCTTGATCTTGCATATAAACATGTGCAACAAAATAAATCCTACATTTACCTTGATAAAGAAGACAAAACCCATTGGCTAAGAATAGTTTTTCCTCTTGCCCTTTTATCCGTATGTATATATTATTTTTAATAAAAATGGTGTTGTAGAACTGTTAGCTGTGACAAAGTTCCATGAATATTAGATGCACAATTCCCACGTAGTCAGCAATGTTAAGTAGATTACTAGGTTACACACTGTTTGCCCCTGTTTATCTTGCCTTCAGTGTCCTATGAGTTTTACATTCCCCAGACCTTCTTTCTTTATCATGTGTTTCAGTAATTGTAACTCTTTCTGATTGTGAATATAAGTTACCTTGATATTCTTATTTTTCTTAAAACTTTCTCATTACTCACATGCTCTGTCCATGATATTCTCAGTATTTGTCAGTAGGTGCAGCAACACTAAAATCATACTATATCTTATAAACTGGAGTTCATTCTTAAGCCATAGAATGCTGCTTCTTCTTTTATATACCATGTCTCTTCAGTACATTAGAGATCACGACTCTCCATGACTTCCTGTCTTTTGTTGTGCTAAGTAAGCTTTGCATCATTTACCATTTCTCTCTGTCCTTGTTAAACTATGTTAACACAAACTCATTAAATAACTGTTTCCATTACTTCTCTTGCTTTCACTGTCCCTCACACTCTCATATACCTGAGGAGTATGGGGGCATAGATCTCAAGTCCTGTATACTCCCTGAGGTTTATGGAGCTACAGCTCTCAAGTCCAGTAAACTTGCTGAGAAGTATGGGGTTACAGCTCTCAAGTCCCCTAGACTCGCTGAGGGGTATGGAGCCACAGTTCTCAAGTCTCATAGACTCACTGAGGAGTATGGGGCCAACAGTTCTCAAGTATTGTAGACTCTCTGATGAGTATGGGCCTGAAAGCTATCAAGTCTAGTACTCTCTGAGGAGTATGGGGCCCACAGCTCTCAATTCTCATAGGGTCTCTGATGAGTATGGGGCCATAGCTCTCCGCATAACAAGTGTTGCTGTTGAGGTTTCTGTAAAAAAAAAATAGGCCTTTATGAGATGATGTTACTAACCCTCAAAGTTTTGAATTCAGAGTTATTCGTCTCCTAGACTGGATGATAACCTACTAGACTGGAATTTGAACTAGTCATGCCAATTTCTCCTTCTGAGCCACTAACCATTACACCACCTACACTTTCACTTTTATTGTCTTGAGAATATTAAATTATCTATACCCTATTTTCTCATTAGGTGCTTCAGAAATTTCATCTGTCTCGTTCTGCTTTTGATATGATAACAATTGCCATAACCGCTCTTCACAATACAATGGGAACACTTAGAGAAAATTTAAAAAAACGTATCTATGAACACAAAAAAGGGATACACAATAATTTATTAAATACATTAAATAAAATTCAACCACAACTTCGATCTAAAGAATGCCACACTTATTAAAAGAACTTAAACTGAAAATTCTCCAGAGTGCTGCTATCGAATCCCAAAATACAAATCTTCACCTTGGATTTTTTTAAAAATATCTATATTCCTGAAGTGAAAGAATTACTTCTTTCCCAAGCCAACGTACATGACTATAAAAACGTTAAAAAATTAAAGAAAAATAGTTAAATCCATGACCTTGTGTTATTTAAAAATATATATAATACATAGATTTATCCCGTACCAAAATAATATTAATAATAATTGCATAAAAAACTTCATTTACTCATTTTCGTTTATTAGACATTAAATTATGTCATTTAGCATCCTCCATAATTTACCTTGACTTTTCAGTTTACCTGATGAATATTTATTAGCGTCTCTGAAATTTAAAATTTTTGAAAATCTGACAACATTTTTATTTTATGTTTATAAATACATGCTGCAAAATAAAATCTTTACATTTCTCATGATAAAGTCCATCGAGGAAGAAACGCAACAGCTGAAATAAGTTTTCCTTTTGTCTTTATTCAAATTTTGGCTTATATCAGAAAAATTGTTAACACTGAAAGTAATAGACGTATTTTTTTCTTATTTTTTTTATTTTGTTACTCATATTTCTAGTGAATTAATTCAGAGACCAAATTTGTTTTCCTTCCTGCTTTACTGTATGTCATTCATTTTATTTATATTTTATTCTTTTTGGTTAGCTAATCGATATTTGCATGGGTCAACAACAAGAAATGACAATTCTGGAAAAGTTGATTTTCCTTCAGTCCAATACCCAACTCTGGATGGTAAATATTACAACCCTTCTACAATTTTTGAAAAGAGTCATTATCATGGCAACATTTATTCAGATTATATAGATTCCATTCTTTTTGTTGCATTTTTTGTTACTACAATGTTTTACCTGATCCATTTTTCAACCATACAGGTATAAAATCAATATGGAATTAAGTCGGGGTTCTCTCTTTTATTGTTTTTAAATACAATACACGGTTCAAGAGCCACTCAAAGTAGAACGGTACTGAATGATGTGTGTTATATTCATAAGAGGAAATAAAGATTATGAGGGTAAGCGCGACAGATTGACCCTCGACTTGAAGAAGTTAATATTGTGGTGTTTATAGAAGTAACCAATCGGGAGTCTGTTCCACAAAGTAGATGATCTTTGGAAAAAGTTGAGTTAAACTGGAATACGGAGGAAATTAATTCAATTCCGTGGAAATAGAATGGCGGATCCTAGTTGTAATGGTTGCTGGACTTAAAGAATAGACTTTATCTTTTGCCATGGAAATATTGATAGAGTAACGATAGGATTGTGACGTTGCGCTTGTGGAAAAAAAGCTGCAGAGTGTAAATTAAGCTATATCCCTTCCCCCAAAAAGACCGCATAAACAAGTTCGAACTCGATATCGCCTTGATAAAATGCGGACTGGGCAGCTCAAGCCCAGATATGTCAGCAATATTCCATTTTGGTCTAAACTGACTCTTGCAAATATAAAGCCTGGCAGGAGTCAGGTACTTTCTGAAGCAGTACAAGAAACCAACCATTGTTTCAACATCCTTAGCAATAGACCGTATATATGAGTTCCGCTTGGGGTCTGGAATGAACTTGTGTCTCAACAGACGTTCAAAGCGAGGAGTTTTGTTAAGGGTGCATCCGTTAAAAGTATGGGAACTCGTTGAGAATGCAACCGTCGTGACCAACAGAAATAAATATCAGCATTAATCTATGGTATATATTTCTACGTTAGGCTACTGTATTTTGGCGAGAAGCCACCACTTATCTCCATAAAAATTATATATCTAAAGATGACTTTAGATAGAAAGTAACAAGAAAAATGAGATCAGTGTGTTTGTTACTTCTTCCGACATCTTGTTTTTTTCTGTCAACTACGTTCTCCAAAATTTTAAATGCAACATCAATTATCATTTTTTGTCTTCTTGAATCCTGTTCTTATTATTGTCCTTTCATCTCAATAACATTTTCTCAGTTTTCTTCACTTTCAATAAGCCCTTGCGTCTTAGTTTGTTTTGTCACCTTGCTTGAGTGAAATGATTAAAAAAAAAGACTTCCGCAGATTAGGGAGAAGTAGAAATACAATTAAAGCTAACTTTAAATTTCAAATATATTTGGTGTTTGGCTCATTACAGAGGTAGTCACCCTTATTTATTCACCAATAATTTTAAATTCTCATAAATAGAATGGGGCTTACCATTAAGCATCTTTTAAAACTCGAAAATAAATTATCATCTATTTATTTATTTCTTTAGAAAATACATATGTGTTATTTTCTTTTGCAGGAAGTTGTGAAGGAATTGCAGATGGCGAATATCCTCATCCTACCCGGTGTGACCAGTTTATCTTGTGTTTCAGCCAACAAAAGTTTTTAGGAATCTGTCCAAAAGGCAACATGTTTTCGGCAAAGACTCGGCTGTGTGGACCCCCAGAAAATTCTGATTGTAAAGGTAAGTCTATTCTATGTTCTGAAAATCCTAATATAATTGAGCTTGTCCCTCCCTTCGTTAGTTCACGCGATCATTACGCCCTGTCAATACCTAATAAATAATGGACTGTTCCGTTTTAACCGGAAAGAGGGGAAAAACATGGCTTGGTTTCAGTGAAAGAAAGAAAGGGAGACAGAACTGTTTAATAGCTGTTTCAGTGAAATGGAAACTGTTGTCAATTTTAAATCTTTTCATTTGTACCCACTTCTTAAAATAACGGTCAGAATTCATATTTATGATTGTTATCGCGATGTTTTGTTAAAGTTGTTAAGCTCAAATATTTAACGTTGCGATAGGGAAACATCTCTGGATATTTTATTGCCGTAGAACTCGCTTTGATCTTACTCAGTCTCGTTAACTTAAGAATTAAGATTAATCAGAATATTAAAATAAGAAAACCATGGAATTTTCACGGATTAAAACTAGTAAATATAATTTCTTGCTTGTTAACTTCTGGGTTGACTCAGTTATAAAAGAATTTTGAGATTTTTTTAATAGTGCTAATAATCAGGTTTCAAGATCTGTTAAGCCTCAAGCATCTGTGTTTAGATCATCCGATCTTCCCAACTTAAAAGATTAGCATAACACTCATCTGCAATGTGACCTTGTGCTATATAAAGCTAAACTTATTAAATATCGATAGCAAAGTTGGAGAGTACTAATATACTATTGTTTTTTACTTCTATGTACGATGACGATAACCGAAGTTAAGCAACGCAGAGCCTGGTTAGTACCTAGATGGGTATGAATCATGGCTCTCTCCAGCATTATATCCCTTGTAGCTCTTAGCGAAGTCTGTCTCTTTGCCATCACTGTCACCCAGTCCTGTAGCAAGGATGAAATCTCATTAGAACTATTGCCATTTTATTTATTTGTTTATTGCCAATTCTGATGCTTCATACTCTTGCAGTAAATTGTATTGCTATTCACATAAGTTCGCCAGGTAGCTGGCCCGCTGCCTTCCCCTGTCCATTTCGCCGTCAAGATGTTCTGTGAGTGTCAAATTCTCCAAGCCCCCTTCCTCATTATGTGTCCAAGAAATTTCAGTTGTCTCTTTCTGATTCTAAGTATCCGTTTTGTTTCCATTTTTCTTAAGACTTCTTCCTTGCCTACGTACTCCATCCATGGTTTTCTCAGCATCCTTCTGTAGAGCCATATTTCTGCTGCCTCCAGTGTTCTCTTCATCTATGAGGAAATTGTCCATCATTCATTGCCATACAGTTCGACAGTCTTTTCTTTGTTTGTAACAAAATTTTCCTGTTTCTAAAGACTTTGCTTAGCTTTTAGATTTCATCGTTTGCTATTCCAATGTGCGTTCGGATTTCGGTACCGCAGACCTTAATTTAATATAAGATTTTAAGCATGCGAGATCTAGTGAGGATTGAACTCCCGAACGTAGTAATGGTCTGTAGAATAAATTTGCTAACCACTGTCCCATAGTAAGTTAAGCTATTCTATTTTACTTGCTCTGGCACAAGGACTCAAAACTGGGAGCAATATGAGAGAAATCAATTCATTACAGTATTAATGGTCTACATGATATGCTTGCAAACCATTGCTCCATGGCAAGGTTATGCAAGATATTTTCAAAGCTTAAGCACAAGTTCATAAATATAAGGTACTCGGTGAAAATCAAACTCACTACAGTAGTAACAGTTTGTTTGCCAATAATTGTTATGTAGTGAAGCATGAATGTCGTTTTAGTTATGTGATAGTTTAACTACTTGAACTCGGTTAATGGGATATGCCCGAAATTCCTTTGTGGGTCATCTGATATTGGCAAGTTCTGTAACCACTTGTAGTGTATTCAAAATAGTATAATTTAATTTTCTCGCCTTGTTGGAAATTAGTCCTACATATTTTTCCAAGCTATTTAGGCTTACAACTATGATTAAGAAGCATCTTCTAGATAGCACCCATAAAGAAATGCTGTGGTTTTGTAACATCAGTCTATAGGATCTCATGAAGGATTATCTTCTTTAAGATTTAAAGAATTTTAGCCATTTTAATCATTCGTCTAAGACAAGGGTTGATGATATAGATATAGATGATATCTTTGGCAATTCTGAATGGATTGAACACCGTGCATGACAGCCAAATTTCAAGGGTTGATATCTGTCTATATTTCTGAAATGAGGTATTGTAACTATTTACATCGCTCTTGGCCTCATCTTTATTGTCATACGCTATGATCTTCCTCAGGCATGGCACGTGGAATTAGAACAATCTACCTCCTTGGACTAAATAAAAGTTCGATAGTCTAACGTATATCAGCTGAAGAAGGCCGGAGTGTACAACGGCTGAAACGTCGTGAATAAAGCAAAAAAGATGAGGACAACAGTCCGAACGATGTAAATAATGTAAAGGATAGAGATGTTATAAAATTAACCAAATTTTTTTTTTACTGATTTCACCCCAAGCAAAGTGATAATGCCACTAAGACACAAGGGGTTACTGAGAATGAAAGAAAATGAGAAAACCTTACTAAGCACAATAAAAGAACAGAATTCAAGAAAATAGAAAATGGCGTTTGATATTGAGTTTAAATCTTTGAAGATTTTAGGTGACAGGAAAGCAAGAAACCAGAAAGAGTTCCACATGCGTGAAGTGTAAGGAAATAAACTATTAGAATAGAACTTATCTAGCTATTTCAACAATAAAAACGACGAGAACTATTTAGTAATCTGGTAGTATGCTTAAATTCATGCGGTCGAAGTAGCAAGGGGCAAATCTCATCAAAACTATTGCCATTTTATTGATTTATTGATAATTCTGATACGTTATACTTTTTCAGTAAATTGTATTCAGGACTATTTGTAGATGATAATGAAGGTAATGGAGGCAATTATTATCATGGAGGGATTGTCAAAGTATTCTGGCTAAAAATTTCTGTCCTGAATTTCCTTATTTTAACTTTCTCTTTTAATATTTAGGCTTGGCCATATCTTCGCCTTAAACAGTGCAGCTTGAATTCAAAGATAAAGTAATTTATGAAGCCGAAAATATATTGAAAGTGTACTAATTTCGGAATTTTCCACGGTAAATTTAAGTCCTGGATCACGTAACGTATTTCCTTCGAAAACAATCGCCACAAATGTAAAAGTAATAGAAGCATCCTATATCTTTAGAGTTTCATGATGTAAAACTGAAAACAAACGTTTATTGTATTTCTTCTCGTGACAACATATCTATCTATCTATCTATCTATCTATCTATCTATCTATCTATCTATCTATCTATCTATCTATCTGTGTGTGTGTGTGTGTGTGTAGCAAATTATTAATGAGGTGACAATTTTACATTTTGTTAACTACACGTTGGAATTTAACGAAATTTTCACAGAATGATGCCAGCAGTTACATGCGAGTAAAACGTGTAAAGTTTCTAAAAAATACACAGAAACTACGAAAGACGGTCATTTACCTAATTTACTTAAATTACAACTGTTCCAAATTATTAGCGAGACGTAATTAAAACTCGATTGAACAAGAAAATAACTCTAATTGCTTCATGTACAGATTGTTATGGATACATACAGTAACCGACATGAAATAAATAGAAATTAACTAGTACACAGTGTTCAAAAATGGTGCTGTTTAATAATGTTTTTTCTTCTTGAAATGACATGGATAAGGCGCTGGTCCACGCAACATGTCAAATTCTGGATCTCCTCTGATGTAATTCCAAGTGATACATTCACTATTAGCGTCTATTCTCATAAACCCGTCGCTTCATAATGTTCTATAAGTTTTCGATTGGGTTTAAGTCTGGAGAATTGACCGGCCAGTTCATTTTCCGTAGTCCACAGAAACCTAATTGTTGCAGGTACTCCGCAGTTTTATGCACTGTCTGCAAGGGAGCATTATCTTGTATAAATATGATGTTTCTCTTGAAAGTGATCCTTTGCTTTTTTAAGGTTCAAGGTGTTCTCTCAGGAAGGTTATATAAGTATATGCAGTCATTTTAATACCGTCAGGCACTTTCCACTGACCAACCATGATAATTCCAATAATATCAGCCCAAATTATGATACTCACTTCTCCTTGTTGGAGTCTCAAGCGTTGATGACAATGTCGTCTGTTAACGTCCCAACCTTTTCTCCAGCCGTCAGGGACATCAATGGTAGCACTAGATTCATCTGTTAACAATACCTTGGAGAAGTCCACTTTCATGCTATCTTCTGCCAATTTCAGACGCTTTTGTGCGTCTCTTTTTTCAATGGAGGCGTTATCACCTGTCTCAATAATTTCCCGACATTTTTCGGAAGACAACATGGAGTAGTTCTGGACACAGTTGATTTTCCAATGCGCCTGAAAAGTCCTCCACGGTTAGGTCTGGATTATTTAGAGCTTCACGTTTAATTCTCGACAGAGAACGTTACAAAACAACCCTCGAGTTACCCTTATAGGCCCCACATACGAACCTTCGTAGGAGTTGTAAACAAACCCTTTTCACAGTCTGGTGATATCTTTCAATCATTTTGGATATTTCTAATGTGATTTACTTTTTGCAACTTCAGTTGTTATAACAGACTTCTTAGAAGCCGTGTTCTTAGAAGCCGTAAAATTACAACTGCGACCCATAATTGCACGATTATGAAGTCACTCTTTAATAATTTGGAACACTGAAGTATCGTGTTACTCATGTAAATGCTAGTGGGTGTTAAACACTTGCGCAAAACCTTACAGTTTTTACACAGCACGCAACTACAACTGTTGCCATCATTCTATGAAAATTTCGTTAAATTTCAACGTGTAGTTTTTAGATAAAATGGAAAATTGTCACCTCGTTAATAATTCGTTACACAATATATATATATATATATGTGTGTGTGTGTGTGTGTTTGTGTGTGTGTGTGAAAATATATAGAAAAGAGGAAAGAACTTGTTAGGTAAAGTTTGGATGAGTTCTTTAGCATTTTTGGATAAGTTCTTTAGCATTTTTGTTATTATTTAAAAAAAAAACAGTGCTCGATACAAAAGTAGAGCCTAAATATAATTATTTATTTAAAATTCAATTCAAGTCAAATAATTATATTGAAGTTTTTGGCTCTTGTTTTGAAACAGGAGAACTCTAATATAGCGAAGGAATCATATTTTTAAATAAATAATTATATATATATATATATATATATATATATATATATATGCGTTTGTTCTGATATTATTCTACATGCTACTATCACCCATATCATAGACTCTCCTGTCGATTTCGACGCATGAGGATCCGACAACCTCATTCGGTTTTTGTGTCTGTGTCTTATGTGATATTTCAGTCCCGCTAGTGACCTGCATACGAGTCCACATATTGTGCAACAGCGAGATATAGCAACAAGAATATTTGCTCACACTTTTCGCCGTTGACTTTCGTCTTCTTAGCCGGTCAATACGGCTGATTTCAAAATTTCTGATACCATTCTGGCACAGATATCTACAGTTACTTCTGTCCAGGGCAATTCGCTCGAAGTTAGTATGAGGTACATTATGAAAGTTGTCAGAAAACTCCCACAGAAGATTTGATTATATTAGATATTATTTGATATATATATATAAGGAAATCAATTGCAAAGTGTAAACTTTTTTTTCGTACTTTAAGACTTCATCGGACAAAAGTAATGTTTACGTTAATGTAACTACATATGCGCAGGAAGGAAAAAGGGCGGGAAATTTTAGGCATTGAATTTTATCACTTTCAAATCTTATTAAAAAAATATATACACTTTTTTCTCTAAGATTTCTCAAATATTCAAACCAATAGACGAAAATGAATAAATAGACTCTTTAATAAATAAACAGAGCGTCAACTCAAATATGAGTATCCACTAAAAATAACGTTGAAAGTGATAAAAATCTTGTGAAATTCATAAATAAAAGAGCCATTATTTTGTAACGGGGTCGAATATTGAAGTAGTTAATGTAAGTTACCTCGTTATTATAATCATTTGTAATTGTAGGAAAAAATTTTTTCTTTCTTTCTTTCTTTTTTTTTTTTTGCTGAAAACGAAATAAAGACGTAAACGTACAACGATAACAACAATAAGACTTGAGACATGTGTTGATATTAATAACAAGAATTTGTTGCGGACCGAGGGGTTTACGTGTTGTTAAATTAGGAACACGTGAGTTTATTTCTGCTAGAAGAAGGTCCACTACAAGAACATGGCGGATTCAGAGATTGAATCAACCATAAAGAAAGAAGTGTAAAAGGAAACCAACAAGACCGATATATATATATATATATATATATAGTGATTTTCCAAGCGTAGCTTAGATGTGGCACAAGGCCGAAATTAGGGGGCACCCAGTGAGGATCGAACTCACTACTCAGGCGTAATCGTTTTAACGAGACAAGCTTGCTAACCATTACACCGACTCGAGGTGCCCCAATATATATATATATATATATATATATATATATATATATATATATATATATATATATATATATATATATATATATATATATATATATACAAACAAGTATATGTATTAAACAACAAAATTTACAATGGACAAAGACATCAACATTTGTGTTTGTGTGTGAACGTAAGGAGTTTGTATTTTGGTGAATGTTCGTACGTACGTGTGTGTGTGTGTGTGTGTATAATGTTCATGGCGTCTTCCACAAATGGGAAGACACAATCTTCTGCGAGAGCTTACATTGTAGATGTATTTGCTGAAGTGAAGAAACGAAAAAGAGAACGAGGCAAGAAATTACCCAGTATTTATAGTGTAGGGAGAGCGACCCCTAGTGAACAATTAGGAAATTAAGGAGGAGTTAACTCCGACAAGTTTGTATTTTTCTTTTTTCGTGATGTGAATGATGCATGTTAAAAATGTTCTCAGTGTTACTGTTCCTTTTTTCTTTAAAAGTTTGTGCTTCTTACTTTTTTCTGATTGTTCGGAGAATTTCGCTGTTAAGGATAGCGTTTGAGAACGTCAATTTTCGATTTTCTAAGGCGATGGTGATACGTATGTGTTGCATTCTTTTTTATTGTTACTCTTTCTAGCCTAGTCTACTGGTACTCTATTGATCTCTTGTGGCGGAAGGGTCGATTTATCATGATGAAGGTTCAGATTTTAGAATGAGGAAATATCATATTTTTTTCATCACCGGTAGTTAGGTTGTTTTTTTAGGATAATTAAATTTTTTATTTTTTTTTTTTTTTCCGGGGTGATGAAATAACCTTATCATCTATCATCACTAGTAGAAAGGTTATTTTTCGAATGATGAAATATCATCATTATTCTGGATCATAACAAAATCGTTTTTTTTTTTTTTATTCATGATTTTATAAAAAATATCAATGAACGATAAATCATGAAAATTTAAATAAACCTAGGATTAAAGGAAAAAAAGGATTTGTCTCAACTTGCTACATTTTTGTGTCCTTTTAACCAATGAGAAGTTTAGTTTGGAAAAGTGAAATGATGATTGGTTAAAAGTTAATTTGGGGAAGAGTGCATCTCTCCGTAGGGGGTAACAGGCAAGTATGGAGGATTCGATAGTTCTTTCTGATTGCTTGCCAAGGGTGAACAACCTGTTCCACAGATATTCAGAATGTCTGGATGTATTGTCATTTATGTCATTTCTTATAAGCGATGATATAATTTGTAATGCAAACTTTGTTGTTAGATCACTATCGTGTCGTTAATGTTTTTACATAAATATCGTGTTAGTAACGATGAATTTCTTTTGAATTCTATGCTTTCTAATTAAACATGATCAAATACTTGCATCAAGTTTTTTAATAACTAGTTTTTTAAGGAGTGTTTTTTTTTACTTTTGAACGCACAAGTTACAATAAGGTCGCTTTTTTTCCTTTCTCTTTATTTCTTCCTTTTTATAAACATTTTCACAATATTTATTTTTTAGTCCAAACAACGAAGAAAGATTTGGTTAAGAAGCCCACATTTGAAGGTAAGTTTTAAAATTTATTTGCTTCAGTTTGTTTTAACATCATGACCGGTTACTCGTTTCTGAGTGTCCAGGCACATTTGTGTTTATTCAACACCCAAAGAGCGCACACGTGTTGTATGTTTTATACTGCAACTATTCTGAGCGGGCATAAGTTGACGTGATCAACAGTTATTTGTTTTTAACAAGTTTATGATGTCTTATGAGTCCATGCTAGCACAACCATCGACGGCTTTTGAATAATAATTCCGTCTACCCAATTTTACTCACAAGGGTAGGGTCAACTGTGATATGGTTTCCAGGAACTGACCAACAGATCCTAAGGCCGATAACACATTCCTAACCACTCGGACGCGCGGGTAATACGTGCATACATACAGCCCATATATATATATATATATATATATATATATATATATATATATATATATATATATATAAAAGACATTTTTATGTTTAACGTTCTTTTTTTATAGATACAAGTATTTAAGTAAATGCTCTGTTTATAATAAACAGTATTAAATAACATTTACCGGCTCATAAGCATAGACTCATAAGACATCATAAACTTAACCGACTCGGCCACAAAGGAGCGTTCGGTAGGCAAGGTTGAATTTACTGCTTATAAACTTCAATTGGGCGTTCGGTAGGCAAGGTTGAATTTACTGCTTACACACTTCAATTGAAGTTTATAAGCAGTAAATTCGACCTTGCCTACCAAACGCTCCTTTGTGGCCGAGTCGGTTAAGGCACGTCAGCGTAAATGACGGTTCCGTATAGGATGCAGGTTCGAATTCTGTCAAAGGACGAATATTTTCTATGAAAATTTCTCGGACATTCATGCCGGTAAATGTTATTTAATACTGTTTATTATAAACAGAGCATTTACTTAAATACTTGTATCTATAAAAAAAAGAACGTTAAACATAAAAATATCTTTAATAAATAAATTGTCGGACTTTGTCCATTTCTTAATATATATATATATATATATATATATAGTAGTAATCCGTTGATATAATCCAGGCGAGTCCTATTAACACAACATAGAATTTGAAATATTAAAACTGACTCACCAAAGAACGTTAAATGAACTCATTAAACAGAACAAATTTTCTTTACAATTGGAATTAAGATAACTTTATTTAATGATATTAATATATATATATATATATATATATATATATATATATATATATATATATATATGGACGAGTTTAATACACCAAAAATTCCGAATTATCTCTCTTTTATCATACTAAATTTACCTCTTGATTGTTTTTTCACGTTTTCGTTAATTTCTGTGGATTTGCTTTGAATCAAACTTTGGGTGTGTGACCATTAGTATATAGGTCAGCTAATCGGTTTTCCCCTAGCCAGGCTCTCCTACCTCCATAATATAATTCCTGCAACGTTGCTTTCTCCCACTACTGCCCCTCTAACGCCTTTTATCTCTCTTTCTTTCCCCAGCTAACCAGTATCCTACTACAAACTGATATCATAAAACAGTTTGCGAATTTTGAAATACACACACACACACACACAAACACACACATATATATATATATATGATGGACTCTCCCGCCTATTTTGACGCATGAGAATCCGACAACCTCATTCATTTTTTTTTTGTTTCTGTCGTATGTGACAGTTCAGTTCCACTAGTGACCTGCATATAAGTTCACTTATTGTGCAACAGCGGGGATCTCGGGAACAGGAATAATTACTCACGCTTTACACCGTTGGCTTTCGTCTTTTAGCCGGTCAATACGACTGATTTCGAAATTTCTAATACACTCCGGCAGAAATATCTCCAGTTATTTCTATCCAGGGCAACTCGCTCGAAGTTAGTATGAGGCATATTCACAGCCGAGTGGTTACTCTTTAGCTTGTCTTTATAGCTGAGTCACACCTCTTTGTGCACTGCCAAGCTGGCTATATATGAGGACCTTAGGTATTCTGTCGTCACTTATCCTTGCAACATGAGCAGACCAGCGAAGCTGTGACTTTATCAGGAAAGTCTCAATTCCATCAATGTTGTATTTTGAGAGATCAGCAGTGGACACCCTATCGTCAAAAGTATAGCCCCAGATCGCGCGGAAACAACTTTTGTGGAAGGCATCAAGCTGATTGATATGAAACCTATATAGGGATTCTGAGCCGTACAACAGTATGGTCAAAACGGCTGCTCTAAAACCCGTTTGGTGTACAATTTGATACCCCCTCTCATTTCATAGATGGTGGTGGCGAAGCTTTCTAAATGCATTTGTAGTTTTGGCGATTCGCTTTTGTTATTTCGTCATCTAGGGTTGCGTTTGCATTCGTTTTACTTCAAGTTTTTTACATGAATCTGTACAGGTGTATCTGGGAATTGATGAACTGGCAGTTGTCTGACACCCCGAATCTGCTTTGGACAATATATAAAACCCCACTACTCGACACAATTAGGTCCTCACATATATATAAAAAAAATGAAATGGCGATCTTATTAACAGATTTAAAAAAAAAGATATGTATATATATAAAAGACAGGTAAACGGACAGTTTGGATATAGAATCTTTATATAGAAATGTTGCTGTAAAGAAATGGCTAAATTTACTAAAAACAGATTTAACAAAAATAAAATTACCACTTCCCACACGTAAGATCATAAAAATATGCCAGTTAATCAATGTTCTTTTCACGTTCGATAACATTTTTTATAAGCAAAAATTTGGTTTGACGATGAGTTCCCCACGTACGTTGTCTCCTAAAAAGAGAGAGGAGAGTTTCCAGAAAGTAGTCCTTTCAAAAATATTTTACCACAAAATGTTTCTTATTTTAAATACATAGATGATACACTAAACAGTGTTTTTCAACGACATACTTAGGATCAAATGAAAATATCACGGTACACATATCAAAACTTTTAAATGTTATGAAATAAAACCATACATTTTGAATTAAACAAAGAATGTTGAATACAATTATACGAAAAAAGTGTTAGTATTCATTTATTCAAATAAAGTACAATTTTAAAAAGTTAAATTAAAAAATAATTTAAAAAATGAATATTAAAACAAAGTATTTAAAATAACATAATCGACAAATAGGGAAAAGAATTATTTGAAAAACCAAGGTTAATACTTACTCATTTATTCAAATACTAACGCTGTGCCATTGCTACTTACTGTGACACCCACCGGTGGTCGCTTTCGCAGCGCCAATATGTGACGTCCTCTGGTCGCGATGCCAATATGTGATACTGCGCTGTCGGCCTGTGGTCAACTCCCAGTTGCGGCGCGAAGCTGTAAGGTTTCTTCCACCAGCGTTTTGGGGTTGACTCTTTGTCGCTGCCACCAGCCTGTGTCCCGGTCGATCTGGTCGTTCCCGGTTCGATACCAGCTTTGTCGTTCCCAGCTCACTTCCAACGTCTGGTTACCGAAGTAACTACTTTGATCTCAAGTCTAACCTACCCACGTTGTGACTTTGATCTTAGGTAGACGAAATCAATCAGACGTCGGGCCGTAGTGCAAGCTGAATCCGGGGTAAAGGTGATATCTCACAAGCGTAAGTAAAAGAAACAATAAAACAAAACTCAAGATGTTCAAATATGTTGAGAAATAAGAAATTTTCTTTATCCGTCTGTTGAATACAGGAGTGTATTTCTCTCTCAGCCCGTTTCTATGGATTCGTGACACTTGCGTTTCTTAAGCGAGTTTTGGTATCTTAAGTCGTTCGTCAATATAACTTGCTTTTAGTAGGAAGGCTAAGTCGGAAGGATGTGGAATTTCTCGGTCAGCTTCTGCGAGGCAACGGCCTGACTGCAACTGCGAATCAACTGATCAGCTGCCTCGAGACGTTCGTTTATATGGTTACCGACCAAAACCCGGTGTGGGGGGCTGACGTGGCTTAGGTTCTCGATTCCCAGCAAGAATTCTCTTTGTTCTTAGGCCAGGAAAATTAATTACTTCCCATTTTTGGAAGATTAATCACTTTTCATTTCGGAGGTTTCTCCCTCGTCCGTGAGGGAAGGTCGGAGTAGAGTTATCCTCCTAGACTCTTCCTCTCTCACATTGGTATCTCATACCAATCCCCTCAGTGGGTGTTAACAACTTCTCCGTCTTTCTCATACATTCACCTCCGCCTATCACCCATGTTACCACTTGATCAATGATCTCTCGGCAGTGTGGGTGTGGCTAGCCTGACCCTCTTGAAATTATTATCCAGAATTTTGTTTACAAATTCCTTTTTTTCTTTTTTTTGTTTCCTTCGGCCAAAACATTTACAAATCCCAGATTGCCAAATAATTCTTATCACATCTTTCTTTCGGGGACACCCAAAATTCACTTAGTCGGGTCTCTCTACCGACTCATCAATCACTGTCAAAACCCGACACTTGGTTTCTTCTGCTAAGTCAACTTTTAGCTGGGAGGTCCGTATTTTATATGAGAATCAAATTCTTTATTTTTCTCATGCCTTAAAATCCTCTTATCACCAAATGCCCATTTTCGACGACGCTGTGTCTGCCGTCAACAGTTTGAATAAGCAATAATAATACGATTTTCTTCATCATGTCAGAATTCTCACACACACCAGATGGCTCCCTTCGTTGGACCCAGGAATTAAAATTAAATGATATCTCTGAAAGATAACTAATATCTATTCTCCGTGGTGGTCTCAAGCCGAAATTTTTTTATGGCCGAATGCTGTTTCCCTTGGTGCGTCACTCACTTAAAGTTACATTAATCAGTTTTGACAGAGTTTCATAACTCGCTTTTTCTTACGGATTTTCTTTCTCGTGCGAAAATATCTTTCTTCGTAAATAAAAATAAAATCTTTTTTTTTTTAACTTCGATGAGTCTATCTTTCGATATAGCTCTTTCTCGCCTTAAGACTTTTCTGTTTTTTTAATTTCTATGGTTAATTAGTTAGCCAATTACCATAGCTAAATAGTGTCACATTACACACACACACACATATATATATATATATATATATATATATATATATATATATATACGCCATGAAAATATGTCGCGTGGCACACTAGTGTGATGCGGCACGACGGTTGAAAATAACTGAACTAATAATATATTCCCTTGCAGACACTTGCGACCCCTCCATATATATATATATATATATATATATATATATATATATTTTGGTGGACTCTCCGTCGTATTCGATGTATGAGGGTCAAGCAACTCAGTTCCTAGGAAGCGACAGCCCAGACGCCAGCACATATCATTTAATTATAGTGGTGAAGGCTTTGTGCAGAACCAACCACACTTTTTGAAGGCTGAATATAGAAATCTGGTGCACTACGTGGCATAAGGTCTCCAAACAACCCTGAATTCAGAGTTGTCCTTCTCCTAGACTAGTTCCTATCCAAGACTATAGAACCCAGTCTGTCCTGCTATTGACCCAAAGCTGGAGGGAGAAGAAGAGGATTAATACCTTTCCCAAGGGTATTAGCACGTATATATATATATATATATATATATATATATATATATATATAGATAGATGTATATGCAATTAATGTCTTTTAATTCGACATTGTTTCGTATTACTCAAAACATTATATAGAGTTTGTATACGTGTCTCAGTTGACAACCGTTTTTTAAACATTGGAATTAATGTTTGCCAGCGTAGATACCAAATGTCTTACTTTTAAAAAGAGCCTCCCGACATGAATCGCACCCATATACCCTACCCCTTCCTTTTTTCCCTTTTCTGTTTTGAAAGAAGTTTGCCAGGTTAAAAGGCGCACGAAACAGCCAGGGATGTAAATTGAAGTCGGCACGCCAAACCCACTTTCCGCGCCGATATCGGCTACGCTACGGTCGCACCTTAGGGGAGAATGGTAACTACTAAAAAGAACTGCTGCTATCAACCAGTAAGAAACAGCTGAAATCTTGAGGATGCATAATGAGGAAAGAAGGCTTGGTAAATTTAACATTCTCAGTACACACTGAAGCTGCGAGTAATCTACTTGACAAATTTTCAGCAATGGATAGAAGAACAAGTGGCACATATATACGTTTCATAAAGAAGCAAATATTGCTAAGAAGTAAGAAAGCTGTGGAGAACTGTGCTCTCCTATGTTCTAAGATGACATAACCAATAGATAGATAGAGAGAGAGGTTTCCAGTTTCTTACCAACTTGTTTTCATTCTTTCTGTGAGCTCTGGAGTACAACTTATTGAATTTCTAAGCACTCTTCAATCTAAAGTGTCATGGCGGCTTTATTGTTGGCTGGCTCGTAAGATGTTTAGTGGTTCGTTCTTTTTATTAAATTTCTCAATATTACTAATAAAGCACAACTTATTTTTGTTGTCTCTGTTAATTCAAAGACATTTACAGTTCAATTTAACATTTCTAATCCATTGAGAGTGTCTTCTTTTTGTTTCTCAGAATCTATGCAAGCAGAATAAAGCGCTATTGAATGATTTTTTTAGAAATAGGATAATATTTTTAGTCTAACATTTTTACAAGAAAACGTGAATACTTTTAGTATTGTAATTGATATTCCGTGTTATTTCTGTCCAACAAAATAGAATTATTAAAATATACTTTAAATATAGTATTAGAATGGCGGCAAGGTCTCATAAATTTACAGTTGAAATGGCTAGATGTAACTATGTCTATTTTAACAGTTTCTTGTCTCGGACTTCTCGCTTGTGGAAATGTCTCCCAGCTCCATGCTTTCCAGCCAACTTTTGTCGTCAAAAATTCAAATGCAATGCCAATCGTTATCTAAAAGTACATTCAAATTCTGATGATATAACTTTTAAAAATGTCTTAAAATTAACTCCCTACATTCAACTTCTGGTGATATAACTTTTAAAAATGAAATGTCTTAAAATTAACTCCCTACATTCAACTTCTGGTGATATTACTTCTTAAAATTATTGTTTTTTACTTATGAGTACATGTTCTACTTAGGTCAAAATGATTTACATTTAAAAGACGTTTAATAAAATGTCATTATTTTTATCTGCCAGGAAAATGTAAAGATGTAGAGGATGGCCAATATCCGCATCCGATCCAGTGTACGATGTTCATTTTATGTTTCCGACAAAAAATGCTACTTGGAATCTGTCCAGAAGGGAGACTATTTTCTCAAAATTCTGAAAGGTGTGAAGAACCTGGAAAAGTGAAATGTAATGGTAAGTAAAAATAAATATGATAAAATAAATTAAATTTTAGCGAGTATGAACCGTCTTGATTTATTTGGCTTAGGGTTATATCACGTTGCGACACCAATTCTTGTACGATCACCAAAGTTAAGCAATGTCGCGCCTTGATGGATGAACGCTTGGGAATACCAAGTGCTTTAAGCTTGAATGTGCAGCTGGTGTAATGGATAACGGCTCAGAATTGGGAATCGAAGAGCCCAGTTCCAATTCCAGTCAAGTTCATTATATTCACTTATACACAATTATTCCTGGGAAATGCATGAATCCCTCTCATTTCCTCCAGTTGTGTTAATTAATAGAACTTTAGTAAAACAGTAAATTATTTCTATTTCCAGAAATAATTACAATCTAAAAATATTTTATGGCTTTAAATAACGTGCAATGGGTTGATAAACCGTAACAAAACAAATAAATCAATCTTGATCTATTTGGGAAAGATACTACAATAATACAGAACTTACACTGGAAGCAAACCGCCTGCATATGGATAGAAAATGGACTCTGTAAATATACAAAAATAAAAAGGGGCGTAAGACAAGGATGTGTCTTCTCGCCGGATCTATTCAACCTATACAGTGAGGCGATCTTGACAGAATTAGAAGTCCTATCAGTATTAATTGTTGGTGGCCACAATCTTAACAACATAAGATATGCGGCTGACACAGTAACAATAGCAGATAGAGAAAGGAAAATACAGGAATCCCTACATAAGATAGTAAAGGAAGGCGATAACTAAACAGCAATTGTAAGACAGAATTTATGACTCTTGGTAAAAGGATCAGCCCAAGATGCGAACTACGAAATTGTTGTGGCCTGGTTAGGGCCAAAAATAAAGGCACAAAGAGAGGAACTGAGTTAAACAAATATATTAACAGAAACAGTAATACAAACCATATACAAACGAGAGTGTTACAGCAAGACTGTCAGAGCTGACCGCTGGAAACTTCTCCCTCCCAAAAAGGCAGTACCTGCTCCTATTTATAGCTGGGAGAGTCCATGCGTGCGTAGGTAAATTACCATAACAGAAATGAAGATGCCAAAATCAAACCTGTAGAAAAATGTAAATATCTAGGAAGTGTTTTAACCGAGGATGAAAATGCGACACTGAAATCCGAAGGTGCATTGAAATAGCGAAAAAGCCTTCCTAAAGCTAATTAAAGCATTAAGAAACAGAAAAAAATATTTGCATTTTTCTCCATGTTTGATTTTGGCATCTTCATTTCTGTTATGGTAATTTACCCACGCACGCATGGACTCTCCCAGCTATAAATAGGAGCAGGTACTGCCTTTTTGGGAGGGGGAAGTTTCCAGCAGTCAGCTCTAACAGTCGGAGTGAGCATTCTTGCTGTAACACTGTCGTTTGTATATGTTTGTATTGCTGTTTCTGTTAATTTATTTGTTTAACTCAATTCCTCAGGCTCATAATGGGGAAGAGGTCTTGAATAGGTGGAGGGAGTTAACACACAGGACATATTGAAGGCAAGAGGAATGGAGGAACGTTACGAATAACCTACCTAACGAGCTAGTGTAAATGGTTAGTGAAACAGAGATTAGAAGAGATAGCAAAAAGACAAAACTTACTAAGTGCTACAAAGAACAGGTAGTTGTGGAGAGCCATATTCATCCACATCTTGAAGGGACACGGTACATAGAAGAAAAAAAATTTATAAGATTACGTAATGTTCACTGCATTTTAGCTTTTGATAGTTCTAGCTTTTCTGAAAATTTTTATGGCCATGTTGGTTTGGATAAAAACACATGACGACTGTAAGAGGTAAAACATAAAAAGAGGTCGTCTGTCTACTGTACATATGTCTACCTGTATGACTCTTAAAAATTTACCTGTGTCGAACATTTTGTCTCTTGCGCACAACAAATCCATGTCTACCATTATGTGTCCCGTGCAAACCAAAGTTCATCAAATTATGATACAGGAAATCAATTATTTTACAAACGGTCATAATAACCCTCTTATATATATATATATATATTGTGAAATGGACAAAGTCCAACAATTATTTTAAGACATTTTATGTTTATACATTCTTTTCATAAGTAAATTCCCTGTTTATAATAAACAGTATTAAACAACATTTACCGGCCTGAATGTCCGAGAAATTTTCACAGAAAATATTTTCTGTCGGAGGACGAATATTTTCTGTGAAAATTTCTCGGACATTCAGGCCAGTGTTGTTTAATACTGTTCATTATAAACAGAGCATTTACTTAAATATTTGTATCTATAGAAAGAATGTATAAACATAAAATGTCTTAATATATATATATATATATATATATATATATATATTAAAATGGCCACTCGTATCCGAGTACAGGTTAGCCTTTTGCAGACGTCTGCTCAGGCTAACCTGTAGTTTATACTGCAACTATGCTGAACATACCTCAGTTGCAGTTTCTGGAAGAGAACGCATTATCTGGCGTGATCAATGGCCTGAACAAGGCCTGCACGCTCAAAACCTCCGTCACGATGACTTGTGACGTCATGCTAGCACAACCTTCGACGACTCTCAATAGTTCCATCTATTCAATTTTCCGCATGAGGCGTGGATTAACTCGTAGTATGATTTTCAGGCCCTTTTCAAAGGTGCCGCACGCTAGGATCGCCTCCCACAGACCGATAGTATCATGAAATCTCCTTCCTGACAAATAGAATCCGGGTCGCAAGGTTGAACATTCTAACAACTCGCCCACGTACCCATATATAAATACGTGCGGCATGTGTAATGAATAGCGGATCGGAACGAGAAATCGGCGGCCACAGTTCGAATTTCAGCAGAGTTCGTTGCATTCACTTTCGCGCAAATACCCTTGGGAATGGTATGGATCCATACTTTCCCCTTTCAGCTAAATGTCTTAAATGGCAGCACAGCCTGGTCTCTTCGGCCTTGGTTGGCAACTAGTCTAGAAAAAGAACGACTTTGAATTCAAAACCGTACATATCCCTGGCATAATCGTTCAAAATGGAGTTCACAAGGACTCTATAATCTTAACTGCATCGATGTATTATTATTGGTTATGGTTTTAAATATAATGCTTTATGGCAATATTTTTATAGAAAATAAACTTAATAATGACCTGACATTTTACTTGATCAATTAATCGTTATTCTATTAATTAACTTTTGGTTGTTTTACTGTTGCAGACAAATCAATTAAAGCCAATATTAATCTGGCGAGATGGAACAGTCAAATGCTAATACAGAATACTTATATTGTGGTACCAGCTTTAAATGGTAAGCTAAGACTTTTTCATTTGCTTATTTGTCGTTGTTCTGACAGTTCATTGAAGAACTCAGTAAGAAGAGGCAATTGCAGAGAACAACGACTTGATTCGCCAATGAAATATGACATCCACTAGAGTTTCAAATAGGTGGAGTGGTTGAAATAAAAGAGGTGAATGGGTTTTTTTTCCTTATTAATTTTTATAATTTTCAATCATAAAATTCTCAATCATAGAATACTTACAGCCTAAATTTAGATGTGAGAAGAAACCTTGTGTATAAAAGACGGGGTTGAAATAAGAATGTCTTGAGTACATCTTTTATTTTTATATCAGTTGATGGGATCCCAAAGCCATCTCAATACTTAAGATATTCTTATTTCAACCCACCCAAACCATTTACTTGAAAGCTAAAGTTAAACATGAAGAGTTTACATAATATACTGAAAAACAATGATGAATTTTATTTTTTTCTGCAAACAATTTTAAAACTTGTTCATTTCAATGTATGTGTGTGTGTGTGAGAGAGAGAGAGAGAGAGAGAGAGAGAGAGAGTGTGTGTGTGTGTGTGTGTGTGTGTGTGTGTGTGTTTTGTTTTATGTGTGTGTATGCGCACGTGCTCATATGTGTGCGTGCTGATGTTGCTGATGGAAAGGAAAGCAGGAAAGAGATTATCAAAATATTAAACAGTGTTGTTGTTGTTGTTGTGCCTGCTTATAAATGTGTTAGAAATTATGTCAACAGTCTTGATTGTTAAAACAATAACTTGTATTCACAACATAGTTTAAATGTCGGCCAGGCTAAGTGATGTCTACAAGAGTTAACAAACTTTGACATGCTGGCTTAGAATATAAAAGAAGCCATTTACAATGAGTTAAGCTGTCTGTAAAAGCTGATTGCTTAAGGGAATGTTCAGAGAACTGTTGAATTGCAATTATTTTTTTTTTAGTTTTATACCAGTTGATGGGACCCCAGAGCCATCTCAGTACAATAAAATACTTGAATTTTGTATTGTTGTTTTTTTTGTTTGTTTTTTTTTTTTAATTTTTTTTTTTTTTGTGGCATTGTGTGATGATTTATTTGGATTATTTTTTTTGTAAAAACCAATACATTTTTTAAGCTGAAAATTAGTAATTCTCTTATCAGTGTTTAAGATAAATGTACTTGTTTTGTTTCAGTTGAGTTACCATCAGCAGTACCTCGCAATGAAGTAAACCTGGAAAGTAAGTTATTTGCTATTTACCTCTTGATAAAAGATGTTTTTTTCTTTACTTGACAAAAAATGTGTTATATGGTTAAAAAAAAAAGAAAAGCAAAACAAAAAAAAAACAGATACTAAAAATCCTCTTTGGTTAATTATTAGCATAGAAAAAATCTATCAAATGTTTTCAGAAATTCCAAGAGTTGTTCAGATTGATAATTTTATTTACTTTGTTGCTTTTGCTGTTACCATACAGTTTTAACTGATCCATTTTATGGTCTTCCTTAACTATCAGAGATATAATTAGGAAGAAAACAGAGGGTTCAGTTCGACATTCCAACCACCTGAAGAAGGCTGAAACATTGTGATAATAAAGATGAGGACAATAGTCTGAATGATGCAAATAGTGTACATAATATCTCACCTCAGAAATATAGACAGATACTGAAAAGTGAAAGGGTTTAATAGCCCTGAATGCTATTCTTCTCAACATAGGTGAATATATGTTTTATAAACTGTTAGCTTATTCTATTACTACAAGAAATATCTGACTTTTCCTACCATTCCTTTTCTTTAGCAGTCAGAGTATTGCTGCCATGTCTGGATTGGATCTGCTCAATTTGCATTTTCCTGCCTTGATCGTTCAAAATCATTGATGACTTATTTTCCACTCTACAGCCTCTTTCCCCACAGACACAATGTTGAAATCTGCTGTGTTGCTATTTTCATGGCAAATCTTTAGATGTGCCTCACTCTTTACTTTCAACATTCCATCTACAGTGCCTCTGTATTCCAATTATAATGAGGAAGACACCTTTTTTCCCAAGAACACTACAATCTTAACCTCTTCAAGTCAAGGGTCAGTCATTATCTATCCTCCATATCCTCATAATATTCACTTCCTACTTCCTCTCTTACATTCATATCACACACCGCATTCAGTAAAGCTCTATCTTGAGTGGCTCTGGAGTTTTGTATTGGGTGAATTTTAGTACATAAAATAAGAAAAATGCTATATACAACAAACTCCAAAAATTAACAAGAGAGATATCACTTCTCCTTCTGTACAGATTGTTCAACTGAAGAAAACCACAGAATGAATTGTCCAAATTCTTGTGATAACCAGAAAAGCAAACAAAATATGTTATGGAATATACAATCCAGAGCAGAACCATTTTGTATCAGTTTTGTTGTTTGTTGTAACTGTGATAATTTTATTTTCACAGAATTCTGCCTTTTTAAAGATGATGGCTTATACCAGCATCCACAGAGATGTCATGACTTTATTCAGTGCAGTAATTGGAGAACTTTCATTAAACATTGTCCAGAAAAATTGAATTTCAATATTCAAATCAAGCAATGTGATTATGCTTATAATGTGAAATGTCTTGGTGAGTATAGAACTTTCTTTGACAGTTTTTTAATGAAAACAAAATATTCTAAATAAATTTTACTATAGAAAAATTCTAAATGATTATAGCATAGGAAAGAACTACAAATGGTTTTTATTAAAGGAAACTACATTAAATTTTACTATGGAAATATCCAAATGTTTCTTACTATAGGGAAATACTGTAAATGATTTTTATATAGGAACATATTGCAAATAATATTTATATAGGAAAGCATTGCAAATTGTTTTATTACAGGAAAACATTGTAAATGATTTTCATTTAGGAAACAATTGCAGATGATTTTTGCTATACAAAAGCATTGCAAATGAGTTTTACTATAGGAATGCATTGCAAATTACTTTTTATATAGGGAATCATAGCAAATGGCTTTTACTATAAAAAAAACACTGCAAATGGCTTTTACTATAGGAAATCATTACAAATGGCTTTTACTATAAGAGAACATTACAAATGGTGTTTACTATATGAAAGTATTGAAAATGGCTTTACTATAGGAAAGCATTGCAAATGATTTTTACTAGAGAAAAGCCTTCTAAATGATTAAATAATATGAAAACACTGCAAATGATTTTTTATAGAAAAGCACTGAAAATTATAATACTATAGTAAAAATTCAATTTTTTTTTATTATTGGAAAAAACTGCAAATGATTTTACCATTGGTCAGAAAGCTTTGGGAAAAGTTTTACTGTAAAGTGAAAATGTATTTGCCTCCTTCAGTTCTTTAGTTGCTAATTGTTATATATATATATATATATATATATATATATATATATATATATATATATATATATATAGAACATTTTAATTAATTATTATCAAATTGACTGGACACTATGGCTTTCCTATGAATGCTTTCATATCCAACTGATACTGTCTAGTTGTCACTCAGCTGCTAACCATTTCTGTAACCTGGCCCTCAGTCAAACAGAAATGGCAGGAGGTAATATCATAGTAGCAGTACAAGTTGTCTTCATTCCACTAACAGATAACCTTTTATCTTCTTTTATGCCATGTTTGTTCCTTTACTATATCCCCTGGGTTCATGGTTTCCCATCCATTGGCACAAGCTTGTGAGGTATTTTATTTGCTGTTTCTCTCTACTACTCTTGCCTTCAGTGTATCCTGTGAGTGTAAAATTCGCCAAGCCTTCCTTTCTCATTATGTATCCCATAAATCTCAACTGTCTCTTTTTGATCCTAAGCAAAAGTGTCTTTTTCATTCCTATTTTGCTTAAAACGTCATTATTGCTCACATGTTCTATTCATGCTATTCTCAGCATCCTTATGTAGTGCCATGTCTGTGGTGTCACAAGTCTCTTCTTTACTGGCATATAGGAAAAATTGATATTGCATAACAATTGAGCACTCTTGCCTTTTGTTCCCAATAATTCATTCCTGTTACTTAATATTTTGCTTAGTTTCTGAAAGGCATCTTTTGCTATTCTATTCCAATGTGACTTTGTATTTTTGTGTAACATTTACTATCATCTATAACAGTTCCCAGGTAGTTAAATTTCTGTACTTACTTTATTATGACATTTCCATTTTGTAGCTCAAATCTTGGAATGTCCCTTTTGCTAATGACTCTAGATTCTGTTTTATGGTTACTGAATTGTAAACTGGTACCATTTTATAATTTTAAGATATTTCATTCTCATTCCATGAGATATTTGTACTATAGCTTAATTTAATTTTCTTTTCTTTTGTTGTCAGCAAATGTTTTCATAGATCCATTCTACAGTCTTTTGGGATGTATCACAATCCATAAGCAAAAACAGGAGTTACATTTTTCTAGAAAAAGATGATAAACAAAATAGAGTTACAAATATACTGATCAGCTCATCTGATTCCTAACAATGTGTTACATAGGAAACCCGTTCTGTTCTCAACAAATAGTGTTACACAGGTGATTCCATATCTTTCTCTGTTGATTAAAATAATATACAAATATTCAAGGGAATATCATACATTAACCTAACAGACAGGTGTCTACAAAAGATGGTTGGCTTGCAAGCTGACAAATTTGATAATAGTTTAACTGGGTGGATTAAATCATTGTTTAATGAATTTAATGGTATAGTAATCATGAGGTGTTATAATTATTGATATTATTCACATTTGGACTAATGTCTTCATTTTTATTGTTGTAAAGTTTCAGCCATTGTGTCCTCTGGCCTTTTTCAGGTATCTGTCAATCCAGTTAACTGTCAGGGAATTTTGAACTGAACCCTTTAAAGATGTAGATTGTTTCTGTTCTGCGGTCTATGTCTAGTGGACAATAGTCAAATGAATTAAAGCGGTTTGTGAATTTGATAGCATTGTAATTGTGAGTTCAGTCCCTAGGCTGAGTAGTATAGATTGAAACTCAGTGAAAACAGGAGTGGCAACAATTGAACAGTAATAAAAAAAAAAAGGAACCAGATGAGGTATGTCTTCCAGACATGGACATGAGAAGAATTTACTGATTTTCAATCAAACTGAACCCTTAATTTAATCTACCCCTGTAAATTAAATAAAGGGTTCAGTTTTAAATTCCTTGAAGATTACCTGAAGGAGACTATAAGGCACAATGGATGAAATACTATGATAATAACAACAAAGATGATGACATTAGTTTGTCTGTAAATAATATAAATAAAAAAACTTTATTTATCATTGGCTGTTTAATTATTGTGGCTTTGTTCCAGATTAAGATACACTACAAACAAAAATTTATGGTCACCCTGCATTTCTTTAAAAAGACACCTTAAAATGATGTAATTTCAGTAATTACAATGTATTTGCTTTTATTTTGAAAAAAATAAGCACTCAACTATAAAAGATTATCATACAACAGGATCATATTTTGCTTTCATCAATAAAAACACCGCCTTCCTTAATTACTACTTTACAAATTTGTGGCATTCTTTCCAACAGTTTTGAAAAAAAATTGACTTTCTCAAGCATTCTTCAAGAACTGAAAAAGTTCACTCTTACTCTTTAGGCATTCTCTTACCAATTCATCCCATACTCAATCAAAGAGAGAGAGGTCAGGAGATTTATGCAGCCAAGTCATAATTTCCAAAATTTTGTTTCTTTTTTTACTCTAGGTAATTTTGACATAATTTGGAAGAGTACTTTAGATTGTTGTCATGTTGAAAGATGAATTTTTCTATTTATGTATAAACCAGATGGTATAACATGTCTTTCCAAAAACATGATATTTTTTTTTTCATGATTACTTGAGCGGAGACAAATGTCCATCCCTCTCTCCCCACAAAAAAAATTAACACCACCACAACAAACCCACCACCATGCTTAAAAGAAAAGACTGTTATAGGCAAAAAACCAGAGTCCAAATTTGAACTTTGTGGGAGTAAGAGGAAAGTGCATGTGAGAAGAAAGCCAGGTGAAAGATTGAATGATGAACGTGTTGAACTAACATTTAAGCATGGTAGAGGGTCTGTTTAATAAACATTGCCAAAAATATTGGGGATAGTAACTTATGTATATATTTTTAAAATAAATTTTTGTTTTAAAACCTACAAATTTGTTGTCTGTTTAAAAAAATAAAATATTATTCAATCTTTCATCCTCAATTATCATTCTAGGTATAAAACCAGGCAGTGATGTTGACAATTCGGAAGATAAGCAACAACTATCTCAACATGTTAGCCATGTTGAAATCAAAGACAAAAGTCCAACTTCTGGAAAATTTCCAGTTACAAGAAGATTCCCAACACCATATGGTGAGAATAATATTTCAGACTTTCAAAAATATTCTTAAATTTGTAAATTTTAAGTCTTGAGACTCAGTAGTCATTGAAAGCAAGGAGACTCTTTGAGAGTGCACCCAGTCATGATGAATGGTTTACACTTTCAAAAAGGCTCCTTATTTTAAGTGTCTATTGAGACTCACTTTCACTCCAGACCTCAAGTACAACTTATATATATACAATCCATCTCTAAAGATGCTGGAAAAATGGTCAGACCCTTATATAGCCCCAGAATGTACACAACCTCACCTGCCATACTCAATCTTGACAAGAGTCAGTTCTAACCAAAATACACAATATTGCTACCATTGGAACTGCCCAATCCTCTTTTTCCAATCTTGACAAAGTTCAAAAGTATTTCTGCTACCTTGTAAATGATTATTTTCCACCCTACAACCTCTTTTCCCCACAGACGCAATAACACAAGCTTATCACTAGTCTATTGTTATTTCCATGACAAATGTTCTAATGATCTACATTTCTTAGTTCCACAGTAAGAACTAAAACTCAATGTGCCATGTACACAGGGTTGAATCACCCTCATCCTTTCATTAGTAAGAAAGAATTTCCATTCAGATGGCTTCTCCTTAAGGGCTGCTTCAGCTCTAGGAATAAACTCCTGAGAAGATGCTTCCTAAGTCACGAAAATCTTAACCTTTTCAAGTCCAAGATCAACTGCTATCTGTCCTTGATATTCTCATAATCTACATTTCTTACATCAATAAAACAACCCCATTCAGTAACCCCTCTACCTTGAGTTACTCTTGAGCTTTGTACTGGGTGAACAATAGAGTAAGAAAAAAAGAAAGAGAACCAAAGTTTGATTTGCCAGGCATTAATAACAATGACAAAGGTGATGTTATTCTTAATGTTTTCTCTCACATACATACACGCTTGTGAGTATGTTTGCCCAAGAATCAGCCCTCTTTTCATGGAATTTCACAAGCACTTCAAAACTTTCAAGTAAACCCTTTTATTTACTGTCCATCATGTGGGACAGATTTGGGATTTCCAGTAAAACAAGACAATATCTCTTTTATGTTTGAGGGTGTCTGAAATTCTGGTTTTGTTTGTGGTGATGATATTCCACCACAGGCCTTTTCTTACATTATAAAAATAGAAATTTCACACATTTAAAATCATTCATTGTTCAACTTGGGAACAAAAAAAAAATGCAAAAATGTGCTATACACGTTTTTATTCATTCTTGTACATGTAACCCATGGCCAATGTGATGTAGTAATGTATTTTTTTTGTGTGTGTGTGTTTGTGTGTGTAAAAGGTTAAGTTCACTGTGATCCATTCCAGTTGCGAGAACATTGAAACTTTTCATTGATGTGTCTTTATAAAATTTTGCTTTTTTTTTGGTCACACCTTGTTTCTGTTTTATAAGCACAAAGCATGCATCATTTTCAAGTGTTTCTTTTTACAGGAAACTGTGAAAATATCAAAGATGGATTCTATCCGCATCATACAGAGTGTAGCAAGTTCTTGTTATGCTCAAAGCAACAAATGTTTATTGGAATTTGTCCACAAGGAAAGATGTTTTCAGTAAAATCCAAAATATGTGAAAATTCTGAAGATGTTCAGTGCAAAGGCAAGTTTACCAACTTTTTCTGTATTCTTAATCCTTATAATTTAATATAAATTTCATCATCATCATCATCATTATTATTACTAGAAATACCCTTGAAATTTTTAGTTTTACTATTTGATTTTTCTGATGAATCTTAATTCTTAAGTTAATGACTGAATAAGTTCATGGTGCGAATGTTGGACAGTCTCTTCAAAAATGAAGAAGAAACGCAAGGCAACGGAAGTATGGTTCTACAGAAGTATGCTAAGGATACCATAGACCAAACATGTGAGCAATGATGAGGTTTTAGAGAGGATGCAAACAAGGAGGAAGCTTATACTTAATATCAGGAAGAGGCAGACAAAATTTCTTGGACATTTAATGAGAACAGAGGGCTTGGAAAATCTGATACTCACAGGGTGGATAGAGAAAAACGGCGACAAGGGAAAGCAACATGTGACATATTTGGCAAGCTTAATCAAGTGCATGACAGTGTTTGTAAGAAGTGCAAAAGGACATAGTATATTGAGAGCTACAAGGGATAGGGGGAAGTGGAGAGCCATGATCGCCTATGCCCTGAAGGAACATGGCTCATAAAAGAAGAAGAGTTCTACAACAGTAAAATATCCATAGAATTTCCCTTATCACATCATTAAATATTTGAGCTTAACAACTTTAAGAAAATATTGCAATAACAATGATAAATATTAATGCTGGTTTTTATTTGAAGAAGTAAGCAGGTACAAATGAAAAGATTTGAAATTGACAATGTTTTCCATTTCACTGAAACAACTGTTAAATGCTTCTATCTTCTTTCCTTTCTTTTTTCCTTTCTTTTTTCCTTTCTTTTTTTCTTTCTTTTTCTTACTGAAACCAAGTAGTAGTTCTGATATGTCTTTCCCATATTTCCGCACAATCAAAACAGAATAGTTCATTATTTATGAGGTATTGGCAGGGCATTACATTTGTGCCAACTAAGGGAGAGACAAGCGGAATTATAATAAGACTGTTGTGAGAGAGAGAGAGAGAGAGAGAGAGAGAGAGAGTGAAAGGATGTCAACAAAGCAACACTGGGATGCATATATATATATATATAGCTGGCCACTTGTACTTAAGATCTTAAATTTTCACTGTTTCATGTTTGATCAGCTTGGCAGCACCTGTGAGGGTCCCAACTATGAGCAAATAGTGAAGCCTTTAAACAAAAAGAAAACACTATGAAAATATGAAAATATATTTTCATAGTAAAAATACCAGCAATACTTTTTATATAAAAAATTGCCAACAATACATATTTATAGTAAAATTATCAACAAAACATTTTTAAATTAAAAGGAACAACAAAACCTATTTACTGTAAAATTATAAACAATACCTATTTATAGTAAAATTCCCCAAAATACATTTTTAAAGCAAAATGGCCAGCAATATATTTTATAACAAAATAACCAACAATACATTTTATCTGTATATTCAAAATATATTCAACTACATTCAAAATATATTGCATTCAAAATATATTTAATTGGAGCCAAAAAATTGTTCTATTGGGTACAAAACTTTATTAATGCTATAAAATCGGTCATATTGAAATTGTATATGGCTATAAACAACAACGGAAGAAAGAATAACGAGGATAAAATAAATCACCACAAAGTGGTGTATCAAAACAATAAACAAGAAAAGAGACTAACGAGTTTCTGGAGTCAATCAAGGACAGATGTGTAAATTGCGTGCATAATCTTTTAAAAATAATAATTCATTGATTTTTTAAATGTTGTGTATGCAATGTACATGTTTTTCCTCTATTTAGAATTGAATTAAGTTTGTATATGCATTGGGTGGAATATAGCATTAATATATTCAAACCTCACTCAAGAGATCTAAATCGAGGTTAATAAATTAAATAGAATTATCACTAAAAAGAGATGGACAATATGTATTGGGTGGGGGTGAAGAAACCAGTTAGCTAGCCCATTTTTCATGTTTACTTTTTATCTATTATTATTATGAGTGGTAATAAAAACAAATTTTGTCTTTTCATGGCAGTCATAAAATTTTTTACCACAAACCATATCTTTATATATATATATATATATATATATATATATATATATATTGTAGACATAACTATATTTATCTAATATAATGAAATCTCTTTGAAATTTTAGGAGATGTTTTCCCTTCTTTGACTTTACAAACAAATATTGAATGGAAAATTACAGAAGAAAGTAAGTATAAACAAATAATTTCTTACACAGATAAATTTCCTAATAGCCTTTTGTAAATATTCAGCTTTTAACCTAAAATTTATGGTAGATTGATTAATTGTTTTTTATGGCTTATCAACCTTTTTATGGTTACTTAAAAATGAAACATATTTTGGGATTATAAGAATTTTTGGGAGATAATAAGTATTTTCTGATAGAATTTTACTATTTAACTCATAACTGGGGGGAGAAGAGGTGGATTCATACTTTTCACAACGGTATTTACACATAAGTGAATATAACGAACCTGACTGGAATTCAAACACAGATCTTTGATTTCTCATTCTGAGCCTTTATCCATTACACCACCCACACATCCAACCCTACAGCACATGGTATTCCCAAACAGTTACCTATCTAGACACTGACAAGTTTCAATATTGCTTAACTTTGGTGATCAAACGAGAAGCAAAGTATCAATATGAGATGGGTGTAAGCCAAAAATTATGGATACCAACAAAGCAAAGCAATCAAATTGATGTTTTTCTTTTTTAATGTTAATTTGAGGAATTATAAAGAAGAGGTATTTTTCTCACTGTTTCAATTCTTCAGCAATGTTTATCAAAGAATATCAGCAGGAACTGACATTTTTTATCAATGGAACAAAACAAACCAGAAGCATTTTTTCACAACATTTAATCTATTCCCATCATTTACTCTCAGATAATACTTAGAAGAATCTATCTACAGAATTCCATGGACAGAACAAGTAAGCAAGAAGGATATCTTAAGGAAAATGGTAACAAAAAGGATGCATATACTCAGAATCAGAAAACAGCGAGTAGCTTAATGGGTTTGATAAAGCAGGGAGAAGGAGGCAAGGTAAAGAGTCAAACTTTGCTGTTCGCTGCAAGAGAGAAGTTGTGGAGAGCCATGATCACACCACATCCTGAATGGAAACAGCTTAAAATCAGAAAGTGACATCTGACATTTCTGGAGCACATTATAAGGAACATTGGAATAGCGAAATATGACTTCTAGAAATTAAGTAGAGTATTAAGACATAGAGAAAATTCATTAGGTTTCTCAATTATTATACTTGCTCAATTGTTATGAAGATTTCAAACAGAAATGAGATATTTGAAGATGCACACACCTTGTGACAGATAGCTAGTAAGCATTAATGATGATGAACAGAGGATTTGCATTGAATTTAATCTACTTCAAATGTATCAGATGTTTGCACGAAAGTATATGTATGCATTTGCACACATTAGAAAAATGTACACTTTAGAGAGAAGGGTACCCTCTAGTTGAAGTGAAGCAAGAATTGAAATCAAATAGTATTGGTGTC